AAATTAACCCTGCATCCTCCCCAAATGTCCAGCTTCCCCGCCCCCACCCCCTACTTACCAGCTCCAAATCTGGCTCCAGCTCCCTGCTGAAGTGGGCGGGGACTTCCCGAATTACCGAAGCTCTCCGAATCTTTTCCGAATCGATTCAGACAGCTCTGAATTGATCAGAGCTTTTAATTGGTCCCCTGATCAGATTCAGATTCAGAGATTCAGCCACCGAATCAGGCTGAATCTCCTCTGAATCATATCAGCACCCAAAGCTTCCCACAGCCCTAGCAAATAATCTTTTTGCCTTTGCACTAATGGGTTACTCAAAACAGATTTTCAGATTGTGCTTTAAGATGTGAAAATACTTCACATTATCACCTCACCATGAGATGTGTCAACTACCTGTTTCAGACCTGTGCTACCATTTAACACAGCCAGCCGTATTCGGCCCTTCAGGTGAGAAGCGGCTTAGATCACCTACATGGAAAGTACACCTGAGGAAACGTTAATGTACAGAGCCAAAGATCAAAAAGGCAATACAAAAAAGCAAAAAAAAATGATTCAAAAGAAGAATGAAAAGGAAGGGACTTCAATATTATAGCTCTGATCAGGTTTTTTTCATATCGTAGGCCTGACAAATAAAGCTTCCATTAACCTCTGTGCATATGAATCAGAGCTGAGAGGAGTTGTCACCAGATAATCCCATGGGTATGGCTGTCTCAGCCCATTCTCAACCAAGTTTACACGTGGATAAACTGACTGCACCTACACAAAGCTCCCTGCTCTGCCATTAATAACTTAGTCTCCAATTCAGTAAAAACACTTGCTTAACTCAGGAAACCAAACTTGCCTTTCATCTGCACTTTTAGTCTCCTCTGAACAACAAATGTAACCAAAATTATTCTGTTAGCTCTTCTTCAGAGCTGCGCTTGTGACAGAGGAACCAACCTCTTACAAGTTCAGCGTTTACTTTATTATTAATATATGATGATTAGTTGAAGGACCTTTTCTTTCTTTCTCCATCCTTCCCATTTTGGCCTGTGCCTTTGAAAGGGTAAAACTGTGATATATGATGTGTTTCTATCTTCCTCTTTGATCTGGAACTGTAAATGAGAGCTGTTTGAGCTTTGTTGTAATACTCTGCTTCTAATACATTTGCTTTGAAGACTCCTTGCAGCTTTATCAATGCACTGCGCTTGAAGTCACACTCCAGTTCTCCACTGTTCCCATCTCCTTATTACCAATACCGGTTATTACAAATACTCTGTATATGGTACTTCTGCATTGGACATCCCTGAACTGCTCCCTGAATTTTTATAAGCTAGCTACTTGTACCTCTCATACTGTATAGCGCTAAGCAGCAAATAAAACATATGGATAATTAATTAATTATTAGCATAAATACTAGGTTGGAAGTTAAAGTACTGTTTTACATGTGCTAAAAAGAATCTCTGAGTCATACTGTCCAGAACAATAGTTGAATTGGAAAGATCAGTGGACAGATGGCTCAAGGCAATACCCTTGTCTGACAAGTGAAGGAAGCCATAGTCCCATATCAGCCAGACCCCTAGGATGTTGAAGTCCCATTATTTTTAGCATACTCATGCATTTCAGAGCTTGAAGCAAACAAAAACGGGTAAAAGGTGAGTAAGGATTTAGCAGCACACTTGTTTTTTAAAAAAAAGGTGCTGCAGACTAATCACCAGCTAGTCTTTAGCTAGGGAATAAGTTAAAGGTGATCACTGATTTGTATCTTGACAGTTATAGACAAATATGTTACAAAACGTATCTCACAATAACAACTGTGTTTGGATAATAGTTAATAGTTCCCAATAACTGTGAATTATACTGCCCGCCCTATATGCATTACACAGGGTAATCAAGCCTCCTAGCGCCCACTAGACTTAACTCCAGGAAGCACAGCTCTGTGCAGAATTTCTCTGCAAAATAAGTTCATCACAACTTTTCCAGGCTTCCTATCCTGATAATGCTGTTGCTCAGACCATAAAGCTGTTGTCTTGTGCTTACCCACCCTCTGCTAGCTCATCTACCAGGTAAACTTTCCAGTCAAAATCTGGCATGACACCAACGCCTACTACATCGTCAGTGGCTAAGATGGGGACTATGACATAAAAAGCAATTTTTGGAATAATCATTGAGTATACGTGACCATGGCTTCTGCTCAGTAGAAATAAGTTATCAATCCAGTGTCAATTGGAAGAGTGTGAAAAATTTATGAGAGCGATCCCCTACTACCCTCTAGATAGAGATTAGCTGAACCAAATTCCCAGATATGAACAGCCCCAAATGCTGGGGAAACCAGTGCAAACGTCAGAGCTGAGTCCTCTTCTCTTCAATGATACAAACTGGGTGCATCTACACAAGCTGTTAATACAGCTCAGTAAACTGGCACGGTTTGTGCTGGAGTCAGCTGCTCCCAGGCACAGTGTTTTGACGTGCAACTAGAACCACAGCAGTTTGAGCCAGGGCTTGGGGGATCGGCCCTGGGCTCTGGGTGGCGGCGGCGAGCAGTGGAGGGGCTGGCTATGCCACAAGAGACCTGAAACAGTGGAGCTGTGCGACTGACCCCCAGCAGCCCAGGGCTGCTCCACCCCAGCTCAGACTGCTGCAGTTCCAGTCACCATCCAAACATGCATTTCTGTGCAGTAAATGACTCTGCCACAAGATTGCACTCTTACAGCAGACTTAATTAATTTACTGCACACTAATGCTGGCACACATGTAGACGGTGATGCTTTACTGCAGAGCTAATTATTCAGCTCTGTAGTAAAGTGTGAGTGTAGATGCACCCTGAAAACTCTGTCTCCCAACAGACCTAAACTTGGGGAAGGTCTGGATCCTCATTTGCTTAGCAATGCTGCTGACAAAGACAGACCTTTGAACATGACGGGGGAACTGTGAGAACACAACTGGAAACATAACTGGAAAAGCAGACTATCAGAACGCAGGCCTACACTGCGAACGCAAGGAAAAAGTTTGTCTCTTCTGCCACAGTACAGAAGTGTCACTTTACTCTGCCAGCCACAGCATGAACAGACTGAAGTATTTACAGTGTATTGGCCATAACTACATTTATACCTATTTTTACATGTCATCCACAGATCTCAAAGTCATTTAGAAACATCAGTAGTCATTATTCCCATTTTACAGGTGAGGGAATGGAGGCAGAAGGAGGTGAAGTGCCCAGGGTTACACAACACTTCAGTGGCAAATTAATGTAACTTGCCTTAGTGGTACTTCCTAAAATATTTTATTTATATATAAAGGAAAAAAATATACTTGCTATTCATTTCTCCATTTGATATTTCATCTATCTTCTTTTCTTCCCTAACAGATGCATTATAAAAAAATCATAGAATTTACAAGCACCAGATACATTATTGTGCAGAATTACTTCTTTTATTGGTCTTCAGTTTTCAAGGTAGGGCAATGGACATGTCAGCTAATCGTTTTGTACATCAATAACGGCAGCTGCCCAACCTTCTTTTTCTTAAGTAGAACCGAGAGCTACGGAAATTATAAAATGGTTGGTCGCTTTTGCATTAACTGAGGTTTTTATTCCATCTGTTGGTCAAGACTGAGACAACTGCTGTGTTACTTAGCCATCTAACCACATCTCCTTCCTGGGAAAAGAAAGCAATCCAACAGTGCATGTGATAACTGAATATAGGTTGTGATCCCTTTCCCTACCCCCAAAATATAGTAGATCAGTGCATTTTATTCCACTGGTGCATGAAAAGAAGTTAATGCCAAAAGTGGAATGCATTAAAAAAAGTAACCATGTCTCCTCTTTGTAGGTTTTTACTTTGCACATTCTGCCAGAAGGTCATCACAGAAAGGGTCAGTTAAGCACCTGACAAGGAAAGCCAAAAATGTTTCAGCAGGTGAACATTAACACTGCTCCTGTAGCACTTGTTTTCACAGAGCAATTGGGCTCAGTACAGTTTCATCAGTCCTAGCGATTCCATTCCCAGCACTCCTAGGCAGACAATATGTTACATGAATTTGTCTTTAGAAATCACCCTCAATCGCTCTGCTCTTCCAAACATGTTTTCAGCATGAATTTGATATGCAAAACACTCAGACATATCGCTTGATATCCCATTGCTGCTCTTCAGATTAATTGACAATGTGTCCTGGAAGGATTTTTGCACTTTGAGCTCAAATGTAAGAAACTGTTTGGTAAACAATAAATGTTAATAACATGTAAGGTTTAAATCTTGTGTTAACAAACTCTCTGGATTAATTTGTATGGTTACCCTACTTTGAGTAATGGCTTTCTTGCCAGGGTTTAAAAATAGGATCCAAGTCCCATAGAGTTGCAACAAATGCTAGGAATGGATGGATACGAAGAACTGGAAGGGGATCAGGACTCCTGGGTTCAATTCCTGGCTTCGCCGCTGACTTGATAAATGATGTTGAGCAAATCATTTTGCCTGTTCAAGGGGTAATGATCTTACCACAGAGGACTGATGGGAGCCTCCATTAGCTAATGCTTGCTTTGAAACCCCTGGACATACCAAGTTACATTATACTGATTAAACATTTTAACTATATTCGGTTACATTTTTAACTATACCTGGTAACATTAAACTGATTAAATATTTTAACTAAAAAGAAGCCCTGGTGAGTACAAGTTCAATTACTTTCATCCCTTCTAGCAAGACTCAGAAAACAAGAAAGAGCCTACCACGTGTAATGCTAGCAAAACAACAGAAGCAGGAAAGCCATGAAATCCGTGGTCTCCCAAATCCCCCCCCCTTCACTTCACTGATATTACCTTCAAAGACGAGATGGAAATAATTTACATGGGAACACAATCAATGGGGCTGCCTAGTAAACAAGGATGCAGCTGGAGTCAAAGCAACTTTGCAAATAGGAAAAAAAAAAATAGGTACGATCTCTATAAATTCTTACTTACAAATTTTGCCTCCCCCACACCTCCCCAAGCAGAGATATCGTGCAACGCTGCCTGGGGAAAAGATGTTTAAAAGCAGTGTTCAGTGCCAAGCAAGCCAGGTAATGAAGGCAAGACCAAAGGGAATCCAGAGCGGTGGCAATGAGAGTCCATATCTCGTCTTACTCGATTGGAATGCTTCCTCCGCTGAATGTACCGCTTTGTTAGCACGACCTTCCCTTCCATCTTCATGAAAACAAATTGAATATCTATTAATAATCTGCTCTACTAGGAACAGATGCATAAGAGCCTGTCACTCTAGATCGTCTTCAACTCCAAGCTTGCTTCCCCTCCCATATGACTAACTGCTGCTCTTGTGGCATCGTGTCCCAAGCCCCTTTTCAGATTTATTGGGCAATTGAGGGTTACTTTCTCACAGCACTTTAGTGAATGGGATTTTTTGCAGGGAGGGTGGAGAAAAAGGAAATTGACAGTTACTTGTCTCTCATTTTCTTTTGCAAAAGCCTCTGGTGATAGGCTTCGAAGTGTAGCCTCAATTTTCCATTCAGAGCTGGACTGAGCATAGCTGGCAAGATATGCTAGGGGTTTTTTGGGGGGGGGGGGATA